AGGGCCGGGGACAGCCGGGCGCTGCTGTGCTCTGGTTCTGTCTCTGGGTACCCAAGGGCACCAGCCATGCGCTGCCTTCTTTACATCCCAATAGTTCCTTGCCTCTGAGCCGCCCCTCTGAAGCAGTTTCCCACGTTCGCCTCGTACCTTGAAAAATACACCTTATTGTTAGTTTGCTTAATGAATTTTTTGTAGTCTGTTGTGGTTTTCCTGTGTGGTTTTCCCCCTCTTGGAGAGCTGATATCTCTATGTGCTTTGTGAGACCGGCTGGCTTTAATTTCACCTTAGACACAAGTGATGTTGAAATACAGAAGAACAATGTGCGGGAGGTCAGAATGGCAATAAGGGCTGATATCTCCTGGCTTTGGGTGTTTGCTGGCACTGGTTGGAAGTTTGCACTGTCAATTACTGACTGGATGTTTGAGCAGGAAGTTGCCAGGTCTGTTGTGGAGCTGAGCTTGCACTAATTCAGGAGTTTATTGCAATGATTGAGATATCAATGATTCCACTTCTAAAGGAAGAAGATAAAGGATATTGTTAAGCAGGGTATTGTTATCTCCTTTTATATTGCAGAATGTGTGATGAATTTAGAAGGAAACCTGAAAAGGGTCAGAATCTTATTTCTGTTAAAGAAAACCAAAAGCCAAACCCACAATAATTTGGTGTAAATTCCCAGTGGGAGTAGATTGTTCTCAGGCAGGTGGGCATGAATTTCCTTCCAATGGGAAATGTGCTCCCTTGGATGAAGAGAGTTTGTTGCTTTGGCTCCTGTATTTCTATCTGGCTGGTTGTTAATGTAGTTTTGTTTTTTAAGTGGTGAAAACCCATGTGGCTCAGTCCTGGTGTGGTACTTCAAGTTACATTTTTTAGGTACAGGAATCACAGAATATCCTGAGCTGGAGGGACCCACCAGGATCATCAAATCCCCCTCCTGTCCCTGCCCAGCCCCCCCAGCCTGGGCACCCCTGGCAGCGCTGCCCAAAGGCTCCTGGAGCTCTGGCAGCCTCGGGGCCGTGCCCATTCCCTGGGCAGCCTGGGCAGTGCCAGCACCCTCTGGGGGCAGAGCCTTGCCCTGAGCTCCAGCCTGAGCTGCCCTGGGTTGACCTGAGGCCGTTCCCTCAGGACAGAGCAGAGCCTGGAGCTGCCCCTGAGCAGGAGCTGCAACCCCTGCTGAGTTCTGCCCTCAGTTTCCCCTTCAGGATGAACAATCCCAGCGCCCTCAGCTGCTCCTGCTGTGGCCTTTTCAGAATCTTCACCTTCCTAGCCCAGTGTTATACCTGTGGATATTTCCATTTTTTTCCTACTAGCATTCAGCGCTGGCCAGTTTTAATGCCATTGTGGGGAAGAGGCTGTAGCAGCACAACCTGCAACACTCAGCAAGCATCACATCTCAGCCACTTGCCCTTTTTTTAATGTATGCTTTGTTTATAGTCCTCATTTGTATTTGAGTGTGCAGTGGGCTTGTGGTTCCACACAGTTCCCAGGCAGAGGCCAATTCTTCCTGTTAGTGCTCAAGCTCCAAGCTCCACAATGCTCACTAGTCCTGCTTTTTGTGCCCAGGTGGATGAAACACTCCTCACAAGTGTTTATTAAGTTGATTTTTCAGTCTGTTTGATCTTAACTTGCCTCTGCTTGAGCCTGAGGTCAGCAAAGCTTTTGCAGGATTTTTCATGAGTAACAATATGGGATCTTACAGGGTAAGTTAGCATTCAAATTAATAATCCCAAATCCTGGCATTTATGATGTAATGTTTCCTGAGGCTTTCACCAGCCTTTGGACTCTGCATTAATTTTTCCCATCCTTCATTAAAAAGGGGGCACTGGGAATAATGTGTGAATGTTGCTGTTTAAATGAAGATTGGTTTTGTACCTCAGGATTTATTGGTGACTGCTCTGCTGTACATTACAAAATTAAAGTGATGCTTTTTGCTACAAACACAAAAATTATTGCAATAAGCAGGATTTTGCTTCTTTTGTTCTCCTCCCCCCCAAAAACAAGGTACTGAAAATACAAGAACTGGCAGGAGTTGCAGGCTCCCACACAACTTTGGGTTGAGAATGGAGGAATTTTTTACAACCACTTCCTACTCAGATTTGGCTGCTTTTCATATCAGATTTCTCATCTAGGCCAGGTTGGTAACCAAGCTGAGAATTAGGATAATTTCTGCCAGTAGTGAGGAGGAGTTAAATCACCTCTCCAGGCACTTTTGCATGTTTGCTTTTTTATTTTAAAGCTGTCATCCCTGACACTAACTCTGACTTGCAGTGGTACAAGAACAAGGTTTGTGGGGTTTTTTGTTTTGGAAAGAGGTTTGGGGGGATTTTTCACTTCACTTTTCCCTTCCCAGTGTAACTTCAAGATGTGGATTAGTGAGACCCTGTATCCCTGAACCAAAGCTTAATGCCTGAGAAGGGAGGGCATTGAGAATAATCTTTGCCAGTTTTACATTACAAATAAATGACAAAATCTGCCATGTTCACAGGGTGAGTTTTGAGCAGAGCCATGAGGAGTCTCCTTTCAGCTGGCTTTTCCATTCAGGCATTAGGTCCAAGAGAAGAGAGAACTTTTTATTCTTTGAACTAAATGAACTATTTTCTGCTTTCCTCCTTGGTTCCTCTGTTTGCTGTGAAGACCCCTCTACCCAAGAGAAAGCTCCATGGCTTTCCTTCCCTGCTCTGGCCTGAAGGTCACCTGAAAGTTAGCAGGAGCCTGCAGCAGAACTTTGGGAGGTTGGGCTGGAGCACATTGCCAGCATGAACTTCTTTCTCCACAGGTCTGCCAGGAAATCACTGGGAGTCTTGGCAATTTTGCCTTAGGGAAGGATGAAAAAGACTCAGTCTAGTTTATCTTGTTTTTTTCTCTGGGAAATCCAATCTTAGTTAATCTACTCCATTGCCTTTTGTTTCAATCTAATTTTCTGGAAATGTTCCCAATCAGGTCCTGGAGAACATGATGGCAGTGGTTTTTTCATTAACCTTTTTTTCATCTGAAAGCTGGAATCTGCTAATGCAGAGAATAATGGGACTAGTTATTGTAAACAAATTAAACTCCTATTTTGCTGTGCTTTCTAAAGCCTTTCATTTGTTGGTCCTGGAATTAGATTTTCCTGGTTTAGAAGCCAATCTAGAAG